CTGTAGTTTGTAGCCTGGCCGACAGTTTGTAGTTTCCAAAAAATTTTATAGTCTGTAGTTTGTAGTCTGTCGAGTTGTAGCCTGTAGTTTATAGTCCGGGGCCGGCAGGCTACAAACTACAGGCTCCAAACTACAGGCTACAAACTACAGGCTACAAAATACAGACTCCACTCTCTGCAGGTGCACGGCGGACTGTGGCTGGATCACTGGGCACTCGTACCTCGTCTACGGCCCGCTCCTCAACGGCGTCACGTCCGTGTTCTTCGAGGGCATCCCATCCCACCCTGACCCCTCCCGGCTGTGGCGCGTCACCGAGCAGTACGGCGTCACCCGTCTCTACACCTCGCCCACCGCCATCCGCGCACTAATGGCCATGGGCGATGAATGGGTGCGGAAACACGACTGCAAGGTTGGCGGGTTCTATCTAGTGGCGAGCACAGCTCCGTCGACTTCGAGGCGTTCGGCCTGAAACTTTTCACACATATGTGGGAGACCACGACGCACGCTCACGCAAATTTTCAGCCAAAATTACAGTAAGACGACCGAGATATTGCAAAAACCTACAGCCCCGGTGCACCAAGCTTTGGACCACTGTAACTCACGCGGATTACGGTATTTTGAGCTGAAAATCGGCACAGATATGCGACTAGGTTTTCCGCCTGTATATACGAAATTTCAAGCCAAAATACAAAAATACGAGCGAGTTACGGTAGCCTGATGATTACGGCAGCGAGCGGCGACAAACTTGGCTGTAATTCGCCCGTATTACTGTATTTGTGGGTGAAAATTTGCATAAATATGCGCCGCCGTCTCCCGCATGCGTGTGCCAAATTCCGGCCCGAACGGCTCGAAGTCGATGGTCCTGACCGACCTCCTTGCAGTCCCTGAAAATCCTGGGCACCGTCGGCGAGCCGATCAACCCGGCGGCGTGGCTGTGGCTGCACGACGTCGTCGGCGAGGGCCGCTGCTCGGTCGTCGACACGTACTGGCAGACCGAGACGGTAGATGAACATCTGTGGCGCCAGGGAGGGACATTTTCAGGGTGGTCACATGATTGCCCCGCTGCCGGGCGCCGTGCCCCAGAAGCCCGGCTCGGCGACGTTGCCCTGCTTCGGCGTGCAGCCCGTACTGCTCGACGACGCCGGCAAGGTCGTTGAGGTGCGGTTCCTCAAAGGGGTTTTTCGGTGTTTTTTCAAAACGCAAAAAAGCTTGACGCCGCGCGGAATCGAACCCCGATCTCGTGCCTACTAATTTTTCTGTTGTCTGTAGCCCCAATGTAAAGGTTGTATTTTGTAGTCTGGCTGCCAGTTTAGGGATTCCAGAGAAAAGTCGGAAAAAATTCCTAAAAAGCAAAAAGTTTGACGCGGCCGGGACTCGAACCCGGGTCGTTCGCCTGGAAGTTTTTTTTTGTAGTTTGTAGCCTCTAGGAAACCGTTGTAGTCTATAGTCTACCAGCCAGTTTGCCGATTCCAGGGCCCGGGCGAGGGCAATCTGTGCTTTGGGCGTGCGTGGCCGGGGATGCTGCGCGGCGTCTACGGGGACAAGGAAAGGTCAGGGGGTGGGCAGGCTGGCAGAGAGCATTTAGGACCAACTGCAGACTACTGTAGCTCTGGCCAACTAGCAGAGACTCATTGCAGATTCCTGAGCACCTACATGAAGCCCTTCCCCGGGTATTACTTCACCGGCGATGGGGCGAGGAGGGATGAGGATGGATATCTGTGGATTACGGGACGGTAGGGCGGAAATAGCGATTGTAATTTGTAGTCTGGAAGCCAGCTTAGCTAAAACTACAAAAATTAGGACCCTAGCTACACACTACAAAAAGTTAGAAATTTTCGCAAAATCCGTTTTTTTTGTAGTCTGTCGCCTCCGTAGTCTAGGTGTAAAAAATTGTAGTTTGTAGTCAGGCTGCCAGTTCAGCTATTCCAAAACGAATTGGATGTCTGGCTACAAACTACAAAAAGTTAGATCTTTCAAAAATTTGGCAAAAATTCAATTTTTCAGATTTTCCGTTCGGTTGCTATAGACAGGGCGGGGTACTGTAGCTGCTTTTAGGGATTGTAGCTTGTAGCCTGACGGTCAGTATAGCGATCCCTATCCGAAAACAAGCTAAAATGCCAAAAGACAAAAATATCTAACCCGGCCGGGGTTCGAACCCGGGGTCGGGCTCCTGCCTGCCATTTCTGTAGTCTGTAGTCCTGTGGGAAGGGTTGCAGTTTGTAGTCTGGCAGCCAGCTAAGCTATTCCAAGAAAATCCGAACCCCGATTGAAACGCGTTGCAGCGTCGACGACCTGATGAACGTGGGCGGGCATCTGCTGAGCACCGCCGAGATTGAGGGCGCCCTCACGCAACACCAAAAGGTTTCTCCTTCCTAGGAGATCTCTGCTAGCCTGCCCGGCCCCTTCCCGCTTCCATTCCTCAAAGTTCCCTGCTAGCATGCCCCTGGAAATTCCGAAAAGAGGCAGTAAAGCCCAAAAAGAGTAGATTCCGAACGTTTTCTAGGAGGCTAGCTAGCCGAGATTCTTTAGGAAAATTATTTTTATTTCGAAAATCGGCCTTCTGGACGACGGGCTACAAACTACAACCACAAAAACCACAAATTTTCGGAAATTATTTTTCAAAAACCACCAAAAACCGCATTTTTCGATGTTTAACAAAATTGCCCTCCATTTTCCCCAAATAATCTTTGCTAGGTGTCTCCTCCAATTCCGCAAAGAATCCCTGCTAGGTTGCCGAGGCAGCCGTGGTGGCGGCCCCCGACCTCGTGAAGGGCAGCCAGCCGTACGCCTTCGTGACGCTGAAGGCCGGCCACGAGATGGACGACCGACTGCTCGCTGAACTGCGCCAAATTGTCGGTCATATTAATTGGAATGACTGAACTGGCAGCCAGACTACAAACTACAAGCTTTACCTAGTGGCTACAAACTACAGAAATGCCACCGCGCGCATGACCCGGGTTCGAATCCCGGCCGGGGCGGTCTTTTTGCTTTTTGGAAAATGAGTGAATTTTCGACTGGGATCGCTAAACTGTCAGCCAGACTACAAACTACCCGCTTGAAAAACTCGAAACTAGGGGCACCTAGGCGTCAATAGCAGTACGACCGAAAATAACAAAAACTGGATGGTTGCCAGATTTTCGAATAACTTGTTGTAGTTTGTAGCTAGAGGTCCAGTTCTTTCGGAAATCGCTAAACTGGCAGACAGGCTACAAACTACACCTGTTTACTTCGAAATTTTTCAGGTGCGCGACAAGATCGGCGCGATTGCCCAGCCGGGCACCATCCAGCTGGCCCCCGGCCTGCCGAAGACGCGCAGCGGAAAAGTGGGCCGCCATCAGGCGACTTTTCCACAAATGGCCTCTGCTAGGTGACGCGGCGGATTCTGCGGAAAATCGCCGAGGGGGCAGATGGGGGATTCGGGGACACGACGACCCTCGTGGATGAGACCGTCATCCAGCAGTTGATCAACGGCCGCAACAAGACGTCGTGAAGTGGGGGAATTGCGAGGGGAATCGGTGAACTGGCTGCCAGGCTACCGTATGCAACCCCGAAAACCAGACTACAAACTATAGAAAAGCTACTGGACGAACCCCCTGAGTTCGACACCCGCCCAGGACGGGCTTTTGCTTTTTGAATCCTGGGTAGCGTCTTGCATTTTTTGGATTGTTAAACTGGCACCCAGTTTACCCAAAAATTGGATTGAAATCACCTACAGTACCCCGAGCGTCATTAAGATCGACTCGGAAAATTATGAAAATGGCGATTTTCGGGGTGTTCTGCCCCCTTTAATTGGCTAGATATAGGGATAGGGTAGATGATAGTGTTGGGATGTGATAGAACTCATTCTCCTCTTTCGAATAGATCATAACAATCAGCTACAGTACCCCCAAATGTCAGCAGGAATCAAGCGGAAATCACGAAAAATTGGGATTTCGCCAAATTTTCAAAATTGTCTAACTTTTCGTAGTTTGTAGCTAGAGCTCTAATTCTTTCGGGAATCGCCAAACTTCCAACCAGACTACAAAATACAACCGTTTAATCCGGGCCAACTGGCGCTAGACTTTCATTGCGTAATCGAATAATTTTCGCGAAATTTTCGAATCGGTCTAACTGTTCGTAGTTTATACCTAGGGCTCTAATTTTTGAGCACTAGCTGAACTGGCAGTTAGGCTACAAACTACAATCGTCGTTTTAGGTATATTTTTAGTATTTGCTTTCCAGGCGACCCTCTACCGACACCACCACCACCCCACCCGCTTCTACGAAACGCCCCAAAATTACCGTACCCACCCACCCCCCTCCGCTATTTCCGCCCAGTTTAAGCTGTTAAATTAAGCCCCGCCCTCCCTTGTTCTGTGTCTCGAATCAACCGTTGCTGTTTGCCATGAGAAAAAATTACAAAATTAATAAATCGTTCGCTTCAGGTTACGCCCCGTTTTTTTGCACGTTCTGCGGCATGTAGCCGGAATATTCCGCTGCCAAACCCCAGACTGGCACCCAGATTACAGACTACAAGGGTTAGTTGGCGCTACAGACTACAGAAAAGGCCCCAGGCGAACGACCTGGGTTCGACCCCCGGCCGCGACAAAACGTTTGCTTTTTTGCGTTTCCAGCTCAAATTTTGATGCCAATCCCAGAACTGGCCGCCAGTCTACAGACTACAACTCGAACCTTAAGGCTACAGACTACAGAAAAGCTTCCAGGCGAACGGCCCGGGTTCGAATCCGCGGCCGCGGCAAACTTTTTGCTTTTTGCGTTTCCGGCTCAAAGTTTGATGCCAATCCTAAAGCTGGCAGCCAGGCTACAGACTAAAACCTGAAGCTTCAGGCTACAGACTACAGAAAAGCTTCCAGGGTTCGAATCCCGGCAGGGATGTTACTTTTTGCGTTTTTGGGTTCCTGGCTCAAGTTTTGATGCCAATCGCTAAACTGGCACCCAGACTACAGACTACACAGGTTAATGGGCGCTCCGAAAAAGACAATCCAAAATAATTTATTTCAATCATCAAAAACCCTATTTTTTTCGCCCGTCATCGACCCGTCGAATGCACCACCCTCATTTGTCACTTCTAAATTGCAGTAAAACTCTAAAAAACACTTAAAACTACCAAGTTCTCGCTCAACACTCCGCAAATCGCGGCCGGTGGTGAGGATCGAGAGGAAAAACAACACCGCCGCCAGCCCTGAAAATTGTCTAAATCCTTAAAAACCCCTTTAAAAATCATTTTAGCGCTCTAAGCTTTCGCGAATCCGACCAACTGGACGACGCTCTTTCTAATGCCACGAAAAAATAGGGACTTTCTACCCGAAAAATGGTTCTATCCCATTATCGGAGGGGGATTTAATTTTGGCAAGATTTCAGGACCTTTTCATGCATAAAAGATCTCATTCTTGGTCACCCAGGGGTAATCGACCCTCCTCTTTCCGATGTAGCCTTCAAAATTTTGCCAAAATCCGAGTTTAACAAGTTAAAGGCGGTTTTTTGCGTTTTGCCGGTGGACGCGGGCCCTGGTTTGGGGCGCTAAAGCGTGCCCTTTCGTCGATAGGCGCCTCGTGGAGCCGTCGCCGCCCGGCTCTCGCTTTTTCTAACCGCCGAAATTTCAGCCGCGCTTTTCCTTTTCTCGGTTACTTTGCCCAAATTTCGCTTAAAAATTTCCGAAAATTGTCTTGAAAGTATAAGCGAAAAATTCGCTATGAGACACTGAACTTCTGCAGATTTTCGGCCAACTTTCGACCCTGGAAACGGCGTTTTTCGAAATTTCGCCTTTTATCGAGCTAAACCAGAATTTTTGCGTTTTTTGAAACGTAGACTAGACGCTCAACTTTGTAATGGAGATTTGTAGCTAAATATGCTAGGATATTACTGCTGGATTCCCGGATATTTTCGCTTTTTCCCGCCCGCGTAGTTTTGAATTTTTATCTTTTGCTACTTTCTCTATTTTTCTTTTTGGATTGTGTATAGATTTCGCTTTCTAGCCTCTAAAAACGCCATTTACGCTTTTCTGGGCCCGTCGAACCCACCCAAAACGGCCACCGGCAAGTAGAAGGCCTTGACGAGCGAGTCGAAATGGGCCTCGGGCGTCGAGCCCCGCCTGACCGCGTCGGAGATCTGGAAATTGCGAGATTTTGATCGTTTTGGGCCGATTTTTAGGTCCTTTTTGGTAGATTTTCGTTTTTTTAGGTAGAAAACGTTTTTCCGAGACATTTCCTGCAAATTTTGCCTTGTTTTGATGATTTTCGCTTTTTTTCAGCTAATTTAGACTTTTAAACAGCTTTTTGAGCGCTATCCTAGCGGAAGAAATGATTTTTCCTGGTTTTTTTTAGGGCGTAAGAAGTTCCCCGGCGCTTTTCCTTGCTAGATTTTGCCTTATTTTGATGATTTTAGCTTTTTAGGCTAATGTCAAGGCTTTAAAAAGATTTTCAGCGTTAGTATCGCTAAAATAAGTAGTGTCTTTAGGTAACAAAGATTTTCCGGCGTCCTCTCTTTGCTGAATTTTGCCTTACTCTGATGATTTTAGCTAATTTTAACGTTTGAGCAGCTTTTTAACGTTGTTCGAGCGGAAATGGATAGATTTTATGCGCGATTTGGTTGCACCTTTCAAGGTTTTAGCTTTTTAGGCTAATGACAAGGTTTGAAAAGGATTTTCAGCGCTAATCTAGCGAAAAGAATAGTTTTTCATCTTTTTTTTGCTGTTTTCATGCTTTTCCTGCTTTTCTTGATTTCCGACGATGATTTTTTTATCGGTTTCTTTTTGCAGGGTAACCCGACAAAGGTGGGGCAGGATGCTCGTCTACAGGCTATTCAAGGCGGCCCCGCTGTGCAAAGGTTTTTTCCACTTTCAAAACTTCAATTTCCAATTCCAGGGCTCGAGCGTGCCGTCAACCGGTCGACGCTGATCGTGAACGCGCGCTGCTTGGCCGTGCCGGGCGGCAAGACCAACTTCAAGCGCGACAAGCCCCATCTGAACGTGGGCACGATCGGGCATGTCGATCACGGAAAAACCACCCTCACCTCAGCCATCACCAAGGGTACATTTTTAGCTTAGAAAAACTAAAAATTCGTCTAGTAAAGGAAATCTGATTGTTTTTCAGGTTTTTTAGTCGTTTCTAAGGCTATAAAAACCCAAAAAGTTTGGAAACAACTGATTTTGGTGCGATTTTTGACCATTCTTTGCAAGTTTTCTTAATTTTTGTGTATCTTGTAGGGCCAATAGCAATTTTTATAGCTTTTCTCGTTGTTTTTAAGGCCATAAAACACCGGAAACGTTGGAAAAAAGTGATTTTGGTGTGATTTTTGACCATTCTGTGCAACTTTTCTTAATTTTCTGTAACTAATAAGTGCATCGCGTTTTTATAAAGCTTTTCTCGTCGTTTCTAAGGCTAGAAAAACCAAAAAAAAACGCATTTTCCCGAAAACGCTCAAATTCTTGGGTTCTTAGTACTTTTTCGGGTTTCTAGCAGCTTTTCAGGGCTGGAAAACAAGTTTTTTGCGCCTAAATCGCACGAAAAACTTCTAGAATGAAAACCTTGCGGTTTTTTTCGTGAAAAATCATAAAGTTTTCGATTTTTTTGGGGTTTCTTGATGGTTTTTTGGCTTTAAAAACTTCGTATTTTTTTTGAACGTCCTATTTTTGCAGTGCTCGCCACGAAGAAGGGCGCCAAGTACCGCAAATACGAGGACATTGACAACGCGCCCGAGGAGAAGGCTAGAGGCACGTTTTTGGGGCCAATTTCCAGTCTTATGCTCTGTTTTAGGGATCACGATCAACGCCTTCCACCTGGAGTACGAGACGGCGAAACGGCACTACGCCCACATTGACTGCCCCGGGCATGCCGACTACATCAAGAACATGATCACCGGCGCCGCCCAGATGGAGGGCGCCATTTTGGTGGTGGCTGCCACCGATGGCGCCATGCCGCAGGTATCGTTTTTCGGATTTTTGTGTCGATTTAAGCTATGAAAAATGCGCTAAAAAGCTCCAAATTGTTTGATTTTATCGCTTTTGTTTTGCGCTTTTCCGCTTTTCGCCATCTTTATTAATCGAATTTAAAGCATTTTTTGATGGTTTTCAAGGCTAAAAACATGAACATCCAATTTTTCGGCCAAATCGAGCATTTTTAGGAATGTTTTTCATCTCTCGCGTTCAATTTAAGCTACGAGAAAGGGGCTAAAATTCTCCAAAGTATAGAGACTGCTTGGAAAAGCGTAAAAACCCCGAAAATTATTCGATTTTATCGATTCTGTGTCAGAAATTTGTGTGATTTGGCTTTTCCCCTCTTTTTTAATTGATGCCTCTGTTTCCTATTCCAATGTAAGGCATTTTAATGGTCATTCTGAGGCAGTTTCGCGTTCAAAATTTCCGTAAAAAATGAAAAATTTCGGTTTCTAGGCCCAAAATTCGTAATTTTCGCGTTTTTTTAGGCTTTCGGACCTTCTGAAACTGGTATGTAGGTCTGAAATTGTATGTAGACGCCAGCGCAATGTGCCGTTTTCGACAATTCGGGCGCAACTTGGCACAGTGCTGCAAAATTCTCGTTTCTAAGCCGTAAAAGAATAATTTCCGGGTTTTTGGGGCCTTTCCCGGTTTTATTTTTTCTTTTATTAGCAAATGGAGAATTAGCGAAAAGCCTACAGGACTTTTGATAGCTTTCAAATATAAATTAGTACAGTAAATGTATAGAAAGTTGTTAAATTTGAGGATTTTCGGGGCCAGGAATTGACGTTTTTGGTGTAAAATTGCGTTTTAAAAATGTCTACTTGGGTTCTACTTTCAAAACCGATGTGTTTTAGACGCGCGAGCACTTGCTGTTGGCCAAGCAGGTCGGCATCCCGCTGCAGAATGTCGTCGTCTTTTTGAACAAGGTATACTGTAGTCTGAGTTTTTTTAAAAATTCTTTTCCGTTTTAGTCGGACGAGGTGCGGGACAAGGAGACGCGCGAGCTCGTCGAGATGGAGATCCGCGAGCTGCTCAACGAGTTCCAGTACCCCGGCGATGACGTTAAGGTACATTTTTTATTTTTTAGAAAAAGGCTACGATATTTTTAAGCTAAAAACTTTATTTTAAAATGCTTAGTACATTGATTTTTTTAAATATTGTACAAATTCTCGTTTTTAATTTGAAATTTGACTTTTGTAGGTTTTGCTTTTTTAAAAGTTGCGGTTTTTTTAGAAGTTTTTTCTGCCATTTTTGGGGTCAGTTTAATTTAGTTTGAAAATGATTTTTTGAATTCCTCACTGGATTATTTTTTCCTTTTTTAATTAATATTATTACGTGCAATTTTTTTTTGGTTTTTGAGGGAAATTCCCGTTTTTAATTTAATTTATATCTTCAAATTGAAAAAAATTTGATAAAACTGAATTTTTAATGTCTAAATTGTAGAATTTTTAGTGTTTTAGTCTTTCAAAAAAAATCAGAATTTGATTTTCCGATTTTACGCCCCCGATTTTTTAGGTAATCTTCGGGTCGGCGCTGTGTGCGTTGGAGGGCAAGGAGCCGGAGCTGGGCGAGCAGTCCGTACAACAACTCCTCGACGTGCTCGACAATGACTTTATCATCCCGGAGAGGAAGACCAACGAGGAGCCCATGTTCGCCGCCGAGCACGTCTACTCCATTAAAGGTGCTTTTTGCCGTTTTCTGCCATTTTTTAAAAGCCATTTTCTGCATTTTTTGCATTTTATCATAAATTCATCGACTTTTTCGTTTTGCTTGCTTTTTAGGGAATTCCCATTTTTAATCGAATTTCATTCTTGGAATTGTAAACGATGAAACTGAATTTTTTAGGGTCTGAGGGCGAGCTCGGGCTCAGAATTTCATTAATTAATTTTCCTGGTGTTTCGCTTTTTCTTGCCATCTTTCGTAGCCGGCCCATGCCCTGTTTGTGCAGATTTTTGCGGCTCGTGCTCAAAAATTGGCAAATTTCATTAATGGCTTTCGAATCGATCGTAGCGCCAAATCGGAAAATACCGGAACCAAAACGGCAAAAAAAATTACGTTTTCACGGAAAATCGCGATTTTCGCAATTTGGGCGATTTGTGCAGATTTTTGCGCTGAGGACGAGCTCGTGCTCGCAAGTCGCAAAAATTATGTATAGCCTTTTCCGGTCTGGGAGGCGTTTTGGCAATCGATCGACGCGAGCAAAATTTTGATGAAATGGTCAGGGTCTTTTCCTGCATAAAATTCTGTTTTTGAAAATCATGAGCTTTCCGCAAGGTAATGAGTTTCATCGGGGTTTTTTCCAGGCCGCGGCACCGTGATCACGGGCAAGCTGGAACGCGGTGTGCTGAAGCGGGGCGACAAGATTGAAATTGTTGGATGCGATCGAGAGGGGCTGTCGTCGGTCATTTCTGGTGGGTTTCTCTCTCACTCTCTCTCTCTCACTCTCTCTCTCGCGCTCTCTCTCCCTATCTCTCTCTCTCTCTCTCTCTCTCTCTCTCTCCCCAGTTCTGTTCTGTTAGCGGGGGACTGCTTTTTATTTTTTCGCCTATACCTGTGTTGTAGGTGTGGTTGTGCGTGAGTTCTTGAGTGCTGGCTCAATCCAAGGGGATACCTTGCGAGAGAGTCGTTTGACACCTGAATTGATTTGGACGAAAGAAGAGAGAACAAAGTATTTATCTAAATAACGGCAATAGCCTAAAATAACACAAGCAGCCGGACAAGACGGGCGAAGTGGAAGGAATGAAAAAGACACGCACAAAAAAGGGTTTGTGCCGGGGGACGGGGAGGGCGCACACAGGGCGTAGTGCAAAGGGTGCGCCGTACAGGCATCGCGTAATTGAATCAAAAGACTTTCTTCTCTTGCTTCCGCAACAACCTGAAAATCCTGTAGATGATATATAATGTATTTTTAGTGGTTTTTTTTGCTTTGGAATTTTTGGAAAGTTATAAAAATATTTTTGAAAATTTTGTAAATTCGAAAATTTCGACTTTTTGGTTATTTTTCATCAAAAAATCGAAAATTTTTATTTTTTTATATGTTTTTTATAATTAAAAACCAAAAAATGCTATAGAAATGGTTTATATTTTTTTATCGAGTTTTAGAGAATCACCGGAAAAAATTTACCCCCCCCCCGCTAACGGAACAGAACCTGTTTTTCTCCGTCTCTCTCTCTCGCTCTCTCTCGCTTTCCCGTGACCTGCTCCACCCCGACGTTCATCTTCTTTAGGCCTCGAATCATTCCACAAAACCGTCGACCAGGCCGAGCCGGGCGATCAGCTGGGTGTCCTGCTTCGTGGCCTCGGCCCAAAGGTATCCGATTCCCCCGCCAATCCCTCTAATCGACAAATTGAGGATGTTCGCCGTGGATGTGTCCTCCTCCCTGCCGGCCACAAGCACAAGGTCACCGACAAGGTCAAGGCACAGGTGAGCAGCGCCCGCTTTTTGTTGAGACACCTCTGTTTTTTCCAGCTGTACGTGCTGAAGTCGTCGGAGGGCGGCGGGAAGGTGCCGATCGCCAACTACTTCAACGAGCATCTCTTCTCGCTGACCTGGGACACCGGGGCGTTGGTCAAGATTGTCGGCAAGGACTTTATCATGCCCGGCGAGAGTGGAGAGTACGTTTTTTGCTAGCTGGGTTTTTCGGTTCTGTTCTGTTAGCGGGGGGGCCTTTTTTAGTAGTTTTTGCTTGCTAAAAAAGTATAGAAGCTATTTTTTTTAATGGTTCAAAATTCGAAAATATCGACTTTTTTTGTCATTTTACAGACATTTTACACCAAAATTTAAAAATTGTATTTTTTTTCCATTGGTTTTGTATCTGCATTGACGTTGAAATTAAAGTCTTTTTAATAGTTTTTAAATGCTATAAAATTATAGAAATATTTTGGAAACTTGGAAATTTCGAAAATTTGATTTTTTTAGATATTTTTTATAGGTAAAAAACGATGTAAACTGCTCTAAAAATGGTTTAAATTTTGTTATGGGGCCGTAGAGAATCCCAGGGGAAAATTTGGTCCCCCCGCTAGCAAAACAGAACCGATTTTTTTTTCTAGCCGGCGCGTACGCGTCGCGTGTCCTCGCGCCGCTACGGAGATGCGACGCGCCCGCTCCGCCAATAGATACTTCCATTTGTATCCATCTTTTTCTAGGGTGGAGCTGATGCTGAACGCGAAGATGTTCATCGAGCCGCAACAGCGCTTCACGATTCGCCAGGGGTCGACCACCATCGGCACCGGCGTGTTCACCGACTGCCTGCCCGCGCAGACTGACGAGGAAAAGGTACTTTGGTTGATTTTTGAGCCTTTTTGGGATATTGAGGCGTGGCCGAGTGGTTAGCGCGTTGGCCTGTCACCCGCAGGGCCCGGGTTCGACTCCCGGCCCGGGAAAATTTTTTGCTTTTGGAGTTTTTAGCCGATTTTTGTATGGGAAAGACTAAAATGGAAGCTAGGCTACAAACTACAACGCTTATAATGGACTACAGACTACAAAAACTGCCAGGCGAACGTCGCGGGTTCGATCCCCGGCCGTGCCAAAATTTTTTGCTTTATGGATTTTGAGCTTGTTTTTGGATGGGAAAAGCTAAAATAGCTTCAAGGCTACAAGCTACAAAACCTACTAGAGGCTACAGAGTACAAAAGCTGCCAGGCGAACGACCCGCGTTCGACCCCCGGCCGCGCCGTAATTTTTTGCTTTTTGAAATTTTTGTCAAAATTTTTGATTTTTCCATTTTTTAAGCTCAAATTTTTCTTTTTTCAGGACCTGAAAGCCCGGAAGAAGCTGATGAAGGCTGAGGCGGAACGACTCGGCTTCAACCCGTACGGAGAGGGAGCCGAGAAGAAGCTGAAGCTCGACCTCACCACAGCACCCAAGGATAACCCCATGGCCAAGGCGTTCGAGGCGGCCGACAAGTAATCGGTCTCTATCTCTCTCTCCCTCCCTGTCTCTATCTCTCGCTGTCTCTGGTCTCTCTCTCCCTCCCCCTCTCTCGTTTTGCTAGTTGTAGTGATTGTCGCTCTCTATTTATTTCTAGGTTTGTTTTGTTCATTTTTGTTTGTCGTTTGCGTTGTTTTTTTTTTGTGGTGTGTCGAATCGCCTCCCCCGGATAAATCGATTTTCGTCTCAAAGGAACGCTGCTAGCTTGCCTCAAAGTGTCTCTGCTATCTATTTACCTTCCTGGCCGGGCTGCCGATTTTATACACGCAAAAAATCTTTTCTAGCCCGCCACCAGGGTTATTTTGGTAGATGGACACCATCCCGAAAGACCCATCGAAGAACCACCCGAAAATTTGCATGCGAAAAGTCATCTCTACTATAGAAAAAGGAGCTATTTTTCTATGCTAATGAAGTTTTCGCATGCAAATTTTTCGGGATGGTGTCTTTCGGGATGGTGTCTTTTCGGGATGGTGTCCATAATTCGTTATTTTTCGAAATATCGAAATTTACGGTATTTTCGCATTATCGGGGGGGGGACTAAATTTTTTCTAAGGATCCAATTTTTCTAATATGGTTTTTTTATCGTCTTTCTTTAGTTTCTATTTTTGCAACCGATTTTTTACGCGCAAAAATCTTTGCTGATCGGCCCACGATTTTTTAAATTTAATTCTTTTCTATTCCGAAAAATGAAAACCACGATTTTGTGCCTTACAAAAATACCAATTTTCGCCCAAAAATCTTTGCTAGCCTGGCCACAATGCTCAAGGAATCCCTGCTAGCCTGCCCGGCGCGTCCTATGCCCTTCAAATGCGCATTTCGAATTTTTCCGTCGAATTCGCAAAGAATCTCTGATAGCTTGCCCCCCGTTAACTCACCGCCCCGACGATATAGGGACCTGTCGCGTCTCCCAGAATGGCCGAGATCAACGCCTGCCACGAGTTGGCCGTGTTCCGCCGGCTGGGCACGATCACCGACTGAAATTTGGGCGGCGCGTCATCGAGCAGGTCAACCCCCACTTACCAACTGCAAATCGACGACCACGGCAAGATTACAGCACGCAGCCGTGATCCCCACGAAGAATAGGGCCTGCAAAAATGTTCCTTGGTCTTTTGGCCGAAATTCCTGAATGGTCTCTGCTCGCTTGCCCGGACCCGGGTTCGACCCCTGGCGGCGGCAAAATTTTTGCTTTTTGAACACAGGGCTCTAATTTTTTGGAGAATAGCTTAACTGACGGCCAAACTACAAGCTACGCTTCCTTGAAAAGGCTACAGACTACAAAAACTCCCAGGCGCAAGGCCCGGGTTCGGTTCCCGGCCGCCCCAACTTTTTGCTTTTTGGAATTTTTGTTGATTTTTCGATTAGAATGGCTAAACTGTCATCCAGACTACAAACTACAATTTTCAGAAAGAGGCTACAAACTACAAAAAGCTCCATCGAACGACCTGGGTTCGAATCCCACCCACGGCTAACTTTTTGCTTTTTGAGGCCTGAGCTAATCTTTTTCGTTTTAAATCATTAAACTGGCATCCAGGCTACAGACTACAACTCTCCAAAACTCACATATGCGACCGTAAGATGATCCTTCGCCATCGGGAACCCGACGCCCATGGCCGGGATGCAAATCAACGCGCCGACAGTGCACACCCACGCATCCGCCGACTCGGTTTGTAGTCTGGAGCACAGCCCCTTTCCCGTTTTCATCCACTAAAAACAAAATAATTCGAAAATAAGCGAAATAGATTAATAAATCGTAAAATAATCAATAACATCAAAAAATCGATTACGACATGAAAAAATCCCAGAAAATGCGATCGATTACGCTATGAATACTTTGGAGTTTGGAGCACGGGCTCGCATCCACGGATATCAAAAAGGAATCAAAAATAATCGGGAGAAAAGCGATACGCCCCGAAATTTTAAAAGTAACCGATTTCGCCACGAAATTTAGGAGGTTCAATCGATTACGCAAGGAAATTGGTGAAGCTTCGATAGATTACGCAACGAAAGGTAGAACAAAAACTTGCATAGGCAATTAGGGAGCCGACGACGACGCCGAGCAGTCCAGAGATGAGGGTGATGGCGCCTGTCACGAGGGTTATGCTGGAAATGGACTACTTAGACGGGGGGCAGACTAGCAGAGAGCATTTAGGAAGTGTGGATCGATAAACTGGCAGCCAGCTGGGCGAATGGCAAGCTAGCAAACCCCACTAGTTGCCGTAATCGGTTAGATCTCGCGGTTTTCTTGATTTTTCGGAGAATTTGCTAGCTTAATCGGTCCTGGAGGGCCGGGTAAGCTAGCAGAGTCCATTTAGGAAGTTCGAATCGGTAAACTGGCAGCCAGCTGGGCGAATGGCAAGCTGGCAGAGACGATTTAGTGCCGTAATCGATTAGTTTTCGCAATTTTCTTTGTTTTGTCAACATCCATCGCGTAATTGGATCCCAAAAAGCCGGGCAAGCCATCAGAATTCGTTTGGGAGGTGGGAATCGATAAACTGGCAGCCAGCGGGGCTAGCTGCAAGCTAGCAGAGACCATTTTTGAAGTCATGCTCACTTATTCTTCTGATCATCCGTCAATTCATCGCTATCGCCCAGCCCCAACTTGGCCGCCTTCCCGTGCTCGATCAACGTCGGCGCCCACCTAAAAAAAGCGACTTCCGACACTTTTAAAGGGCCATTGAAGGCAAAAATTCGCGAAACGGCACCTACCACTCGAGAGATCCGGTGAGGAACATGACGCACGTCAGCCCCAGCGTCGACAGAATGTACGTCGGGCTTAAAGTGCCATTTGTGGCCTCTTAGCCCTTCAATTTTGTCTGTAATCGCCGAACTGCCAGCCAGACTACGGGCAAAAAATTCTAATTTTCCGGTTTGACTCAAGCAAAGCCATCAGGCGCACCGCCCGAGTTCGATCCCGGCCGCGGTCAAATTTTTTTGCTTTTTGAAGTGCCGTCTGGAATTTTTGTGGGAATCTCTAAAGTGGCATCCAGTTCACCGAAAACTCCGATTTAAATCATCTACCGTACTACCCCGAGTGTCAAAAGGATCGTTTTGGAAAACTCGTGAAAACGCGATTTTCGGGGAGTTCTGCCCCCTTTAAATGGCTAGATATAGGGATAGGGTAGATGATAGTGTTGGGATGTGATAGAACTCATTCTCCTCTTTCGAATAGATCATAACAATCATCTACAGTACCACCAAATGTCAACAGGAATCCAGCGGAAAATCGGAAAAATTTGACCTTTCGCAAAATTTTCGAATGGCTCCAATTTTTTGTAGTTTATAGCCAGAACTCTAATTTATGCGGGAATCGCAACACTGGCCGGCAGGCTACAGGATACACTCACTCGATTCGAACTACAAACTACAGAAAAATTTTCCGCGGCACAGCTCGGGTTCGAACCCCGGCAGGGAACCCCAGCTTTAGGCTTTTGGAAGTTTGAACTATTTTGACGCAAATCGCAAAGCTGGCAGGCAGACTACAGACTACAACCGTTTTTCAAAACGTACACCTTGATAATCTGCATGCAATCCCGCCAAAACGATCGTTCCGGCCTCGTGGCTTCATCTTCTTGACGGCGGGGCTCTCGGAGCAGGACAATCACCAGCAGGTCGATAATAACGCCTAAAAATCCATGCTTTTCCACAAATGGTCTCTGCTAGTTGGCAGGAAAGACATACCAATCATCGCCGTGAATCGAACACCCCACTGCCAATGGCCAAGGGCTGAACCCATTCGAGAACCACACAAGAACCCCAGACCGCTGTAAAATCGCGATTTAAAGGGATGGGCAAGGCAAAATCGGGCTTTAAAGGGACCGAAAAGACAAAATCCACGAACCTCCCTACGGGAATCATAAAAAAGAACATCATCAGCGCCATACTCCGCTTCGTTCCGGTGTACAGATCGGCTAAAAAGAAATCTATCGGAAGTTACCATTGTAGTTTGTAGCCTGGCTGCCAGTTGCACGATTCCCCCAAAAAAAAAACGCGCCTTAGCCACAAACCATGTACAAAAAATTAGAAGCATGATAAATTTTCGCAAAAATCCAATTTTTCCGATTTTCCGCTAGATTCCTGTTGACATTTGGGGGTACTGTAGATGATTGTTAAGATCTATTCGAAAGAGGAGAATGAGTTCTATCACATCCCAACACTATCATCTACCGGATCCCTAGATCGAGCCACTTAAAGGGGGCAGAACACCCCGAAAATCGCGATTTTCGCACTTTTCTCATACAACAATTTTGGCCTCAATTTCGCCAGGTATCGCGATTTTTTTCGTGGAAATATTGAAACTGGCATGCAAGCAGTAATACTTTGCGAAATAATCCTCAAAAATCATTACCGATAATTGTCGGGGCCAACACGGTGCAGCTCGATTGGCCGACACCGGAAAGACCGCGCGAGATCAGAAAAAGGGCCCATAACTAAATTTTCCCTCATAATCTCTGCCAGCCTGCCCCGACCCACGTTATTCGGGATTATTGACGAGACGCCGACCAGTAGAATCCACAGCGTCACCGTCAGGGACAGCAGCCACTTTCGAGACGTTCTAAATGGGGAAATTTTCGAGAACCGGGCGTGCTAGCAAAGGTTTTTGGACGAAAACTGGAAGACTGGCAGCCAGACTACAAGATGCAACCTTGAAGCAGAGACTACAAACTATAAAAACGCTACCAAGAGCGCGACCCAGGTTCAAATCCCGGCTGACGCATCTTTTCGTATTTAGGATATTTGGGTGATGTTTTTAGTGGGATCGCTAAACTGGCAATCAGACTACAAAATACAACCTTACGAAACGGACTACAAACTACAAAGCGCTACCAAGCGCACGACTCTGGTTCGAATCCCGGCCGCGGCTAATTTTTTGCTTTTTGAATTTTTGCCATCGGCTGTACTAGAATCATTAAAATGGCAGCCAGTCTACAGACTACAATCGGCATTTTGAGACTACAGACTACAGAAAGCGATCAGACGCGTGACCCGGGTTCGAACCCCGGCCGCGGCCAAGTTTATTGCCTTTTGCATTTTGTTTCTCTACTAATATCCCTCTACTAGAATCCCCTAACTGACCGCCAGACTACAGACTACAATCGTTATTTTGAGACTACAGACTACAGAAAGCGATCAGGCGCGTGACCCGGGTTCGAATCCCGGCCGCGGCTAATTTTTTGCTTTTTGAACTTATGGGAGGATGCTGTTAATCGAATCGCTAAACTGGGAGGCAGACTACAGGCTACAATAGTTACTTTGAGACTACAGACTACAGAAAGCGATCAGGCGCGTGACCCGGGTTCGAATCCCGGCCGCGGCTAATTTTTTGCTTTTTGAACTTATGGGAGGATGCTGTTAATCGAATCGCTAAACTGGGAGGCAGACTACAGGCTACAATAGTTACTTTGAGACTACAGACTACAGAAAGCGATCAGGCGCGTGACCCGGGTTCGAATCCCGGCCGCGGCTAAATTTTTTGCTTTTTGGAGTTTTGGCCAATCTCTCTACCAGAATTGCTAAACTGGCAGTCAGACTACAGACTACAACCGCTAATTTCCCCAAATCGTCCCTGCTGGCCCGCCCGGGCGGCAAGATGCAAATTAGCATAATTCGAAAAATTTTCATCCGGAAGCGGATCGAGGCTTAAATGCATTTTCGGGGGTATAAATATCCGTGAAGAGAGGGAAACGGGTCCGAAAGCGCCTTTTCTACTGTATTCTCTCTCTCGACACGTCGTCTTAAATATTACCCGGCTTTTCGCTTAGAATTTCACGAAAAAATCATCATCACCTGCCCTCCCCCCGCCACAGCCATGCCAAAAATTGAGGATGCCGTCAAAGTAATGCTTTTTACGTATTTTTATTTTAAACCAAAACCTGAATTTTCGAAAAATAAAAAATTTTGGATTTTCAAACTTTTAAAAGTTCAAAAAAATCGCATTTCTTACATTTTGTTTTTGATTTTTGATTTTTTTTAATTTTGTTGATTTTAATTTTTTAATTGTCAAATTGATAGGGAGGTGGCGAGAAGGCGAAGAAGAAAGGATACGATGATGTGGAGATCGATCTCGACGACGACGACGACAAGAAGACCGCCGGCAAATCCAAGAAATCCGAGAAGAAGGAGGCCAGCAAAAAGGTAGTTTGTAGTCGGGATGCCAGTTTAGCGATTCCCACAAAAATTACGACTTGAAACTTCAAAGGCAAAAAGTTTTGCCGCGGGCGGGGGTCGAACCCGAGTCGTTGGCCTGGGGGATTTTCTGTAGTTTGTAGCCTACAATTAGAGTTTGTAGTCTGTAGCCTGGGTGCCAGTTTTACGATTCTGGGAAGAAATCCGGTTACAGCTCCAAACCACAAAAAGTTACACAGATTTTAAAATTTCTGGTATCGCGCCTTGCGCGTTTTCTGCGGTACCATTTTTCTGTACTTTGTAGCCTGAATCTCGTGATTGTAGTTTGTAGTCTGGCTGCCAGTTTAGGGATTCTAACGGCAAAATCGGTAAAATTTTCAAAAAGCAAAAAGTTTTGCCGCGGCCGGGGATCGAACCCGGCTCGCTCGACTGGGAGACTTTATGTAGTCTGTAGCCTCTAGGAAACAGCTGTGGTCTGTAGCCTGGCTGCCAGTTGAGTGATTGCCGAGCTCTATGCTTTTTTTGCAGCAAGACGGCAGCAAGAAGAGCGGCAAACAGGAGAAGGAGGCCAAGCCGGCTGCCCCTGCCGAACCTGCTGCGGCTGCTGCTCAACCACCAGCTGCTGCCGCCGCCCCTCCCCCTCCATCCGAAAAGCCCAAAGCGGCGGAGGCGCCGCGTGCCGTCCCGTCTGGAGCTGCGGGCGGCGCGTCCGCCGTGAAGCCCGTCTCACAAGCCGCTGCCGCCCCACCACCACAAGAGAATGCTGCTGGGGTACGGATGGAGTTTGTAGTCTACATGCCAGTTTGGCGATTCGAATGCAAAACTAGGCTTAAAAAGCAAAAAGCAAAAATTTGTGCACCGGCCGGGGGTCGAACCCGAGTCGTGAAAACGGCGCATTTATGAGATTTGTAGCCTTGAGGAAACAGTTTTAGTCTGTAGTCTGTATGCCAGTTTAGCTCTTCGGAACAAAAAAAAATAGGCTGCAAGTTCAAAAAGCAAAAAGTTACGCCCCAGCCAGGAATCGAACCCGGACACTGTGCCTCGTAGGATTTTTATAGTTTGTAGCCTCAATCTAATGTTTGTAGTCTGTAGCCTACCTGCCAGTTTAGCCATTCCAATCAAAATTTCATCGATTCCCCCCGGGCAGGCTAGCAGAGACGTTTGATTGCAGACGCCGGAAGCGTCGGTGGCCGCGACGCCGCAACCCGCGAAAAAGGAGAAGAACTGCTGCCGGATGATGTAGAGGACAGACGGACGGACAGATTGACAGACAGACAGACAGCAGACGCCTCACTCTATTTCTCTCGCCATCCAACTGTCTCTCTCTTTCTCCCGCTGTATTTGTGCACCACCGAATAAATCGTTGAATGTAGTTGTGTCTGGCGCTGATTTTTGGGGGACTTGTGCCCCTGGCTGGTAGGCTACAAAATACAAGCTTGGAGCCGAGGCTACAGACTATACAGAAATCGCTGACGGGCGCACGACCCGGATTCGGCCCACGGCCGGCGAAACTGCTCGCTTTTTGAAAATTGGGTCTAGATTTTTATCAGAATCGCTAAACTGGAAGCCAGACTACAAAGTACAACCGTTAAAAATTAGCTACAGTACCCCTCGCGTCAAAAGGTGCAATGCGGAAAAGTGCTAAAATGGCGATTTTCGGGGTGTTCTGCCCCCTTTAAGTGGCTAGATCTAGGGATAGGGTAGATGATAGCGTTGGGATGTGATAGAACTCATTCTCCTCTTTCGAATAGATCATAACAATCATCTACAGTACCCCCAAATGTCAACAGGAATCTAGCGGAAAAGCGGAAAAATTGGATTTTGCGATTTTTTCAAATGGGCATCAGTTTTTGTAGTTTGTAGCTACAGCTCTAATTTTTTGGGCACGAGCTAAACTGGCAGCCAGACTACAAACTACAATGGACGCAACCGTCGAAGGCAAACGAGCAGAGACAATTTGCGGATTTTTTGGGGGAAAACCGCGTTTTTTATTTTTACATTCTCGGATAAAATTTTCCGGGCAACCTAGCGGTGACGATTGCGGAATTGGGGTAAAAAAACCGAGCAAGCTAGCAGAGATTCTTGGGGAAAATGGCCAAAAACCGACCTATCGCCAAAATAGCCGAACAGCGGGTTGAAGACAAAGTAGAAGGCGAAATAGACGGTCTGCACCAGGCCCGCCGACGAATCATTCACACCGTAGTACTCTTGGATGTCCTTTAGCACGCCTGAAATGTTGTAAATTAGGTTTGAAAACAATTAAAAAATTTTTAATTTGTTTAAAATCGATTTTGTTCCACTTTTTGTCAAAAATATTCTAAATCTCTTCTGAATCCCGAAATAACGCTTGTAGTCTGCAGTTTGGCTGCCAGTCCAGCGATTCCGATAAAAAAAAATAGACTTCAAACGCAAAAAGCAAAAAAATAGCGGCGGCCGGGTGTCGAACCCGGGCCGGCCGCTTGGAAATATTTTTGTAGTTTCTAGCTTATTTTTAACAACCAGTGGAAAAAGACCGCTTCGCGGCCATTTTCCACTGGACCCCGTCCAGGACCCATGCATTTGAATACATTCTTTTTTTACCCTGCGGCGCTAGAACCTGAGTCAGGGAGCCATTCTTTGGCCTGCGGCGCCAGAGCCAGCATTGTGCTCGAATCTTTGAGCCTGCGGCGCTAGCTACTGGTTTTTCTCCAGGATCTGGCCTGCGGCGCGAGAGCCCGAGCCAGGGGCCTTTTCTTTGGCCTGCGGCGCTAGAGCGAGAGCCAGGCTTAAACCTCGCACACCGAGAGCCTAGAAATATGTTTCGTTACCTAACTACCAAAAAGCAAAAAGCTAAATTCTCACAGGAACCGAACTCACGACCACGTGCGTGGTAGACCGAGAGCTAAGCCACTACACCAAGGGGAACATGGGAAGAGGCGGCGGGAAAGGCCTGTTCTGTCCTAGGGGGAGCGGGGGGGGGCGGCAAAGATAGGGGTGACCAATGATCCCGGAGGGAGGCCTGCTCGTCACTTCACTAAATTCGAATTTTTAGTCTGAATCTGTGGAAAGTTTTTAAAGATAATAAGATGCGCATGATCCCCACCCTTGGTTGCATAAACGGTCCAAATTTCAGCCCGAAATTCCATCAGGGCGTCGAGTTATGGCCTGGACACCACGGCCCGTGACGCGATTTATTAAGCACCTTTCAGAAAAATCCTTATAAAAACATTATTTTGAAGAATTTAGCAAAATCGGAAAATTTCCCACTGCCATGCCAAAAATCAGCTCGAAACTCGGCCTGACGGCCGAGAAAACGGCCGTACAGAAAACAAACATACTTTTCTCGCTTATAGGATAGGATTGTAGTTTGTAGCCTGGTGCCCAGTTTAGCGATTCCCAGAGGAATTGCGGTTCTAGCTACAAACTACGAAAAATTAGAGCAGCTCGAAAATTTCGCGAAAGTTCCACTTTTTCCGATTTTCCGGTGGATTCCTGTTGACATTTGGGGGTACTGTAGATGATTGTTTGGATCTATTAGAAAGAGGAGAATGAGTTCTATCACATCGAACACTATCACCTACCCTATACCTCTAACTATTGAATTAAGGGGGGC